TTTTCTAATTCAAGACAATGCTTTTGTCACAGTATTTTAGTTAATTCATAGTTTAAAGTATAAAAAATTAACAAAAGAAGATAAAAACATTATTTACCTAAAATATTTTTAAAACTTCRTCTTAAGAATTTCTTYTCATTTGTCTTCTTGAACAGCATTWTTTTCCAAGTTTTWTGTTTTTTACYAAAATTCTAAAATTTGTGTGACAGGTAAAAAATCATTTGTGGCATAGCTTAATGGTTAAAAATCTAAAAACTTCTGTGGCACAAATTATAGCCAATGTTGCAACATGYCAAATTTTGGGTAGACTTGCCCTCTGCAGAGCAGAAAAATCACTTTTGTAATTGCCAATAAACTGCAGTGAGGACAAAGCAATAGTAATTTTCATGAGCCTGGCAAAGGACATCTCTGAGGCTCCCTCTCTATTTACCTCWATCTAATATAAGCAGAAAAATATAAATAACCAAGTCTTTATCTCATGTTTAGTTAACTGAGGGTTTGTAGATTGATTGATTTATTTTTACTATCTTCCTCCTGCCTAGTGAAGATGAAGGCAATTGAAAGAACAGTGAAGGGCTGATTGTTTTCAATGTAAAATTAAACTTTTATCAGACACTTTCCTTAAGTTGGAAATGGGGTTTTTGTGGGCAAAGGGGGCCAGTGCTTCCAGATGTAGCTGTATTGAAAAAATTTTTGACTGGCCATGTGAAGCAATATTTAGAGAGCCTGAGGTGATAGCTCAGAGGTAGGTGCTTCCTTCTGGTGATGGCTTAGAAGCTGCAGAGGAGGGAGAGAGAAATTATGGCAGGGGTCACYGTGCTTGCAGACAGCTGCATTTTACTCACCAGAAGTAGTGGAATGAGGTGAGAAAATTTAACCTAATTGTGAAGTCAGAAAGGAAGGAGGAGCTGGTTCTAGCAAGCATTTTGCAGGGATTACCCTTAGTGGRAATGCTGTTTTAAGGAGATACATGGTTTTCACTGGCCACAGAAGGGCTTAGTTGCTGTTGGTTGCTCAGAAAATGTGGAACTGTGTGTACTGGAGGTGGTTAATGTCTGCCCTGTGCCCTGCCTGCCCAGCATCCACCTCTGCATCACGCAGCTGCACACGAAGCCYGGTGTTGCTGAGCAGTTCCTGAAGGATGTCAAGGACAGTGTCCAGGCCATCATGAAGGACCTCAAYGCCAAGACCACGGGCATGGTGAGGRGGCCAGCATGCCATGAGGGGCTGTTWGGGCTGAGGGTGTTTCTCCTGTGTAACAACTTCCTCTTCTCTGCTTAGGGAGCCATCTATGGAATGGCCCAGTCGGTCCCAGACAGGAGCCTGGTAGCGGAGATTTCCCAGGCGTACCTGGATGGCCTCTACAGCACGGATGTTCTCAGCAATGAAAAGCACATGAACGGCTCTCCTGGCCACCACTGATTGGAGTGCAATAATCAGTGCCTTTCCAGTGAGCTCTGGGGTGGTTCCAAAGGTTTCCTAGGGAAAGAGATTGCAGCTCCTTTGTTCCTACAATTGCAGRTCTGAGGGTGGCCTGATGTGGCAAAATTCCCTCCCTGTCTTAGTCTGTTCTGAACTCTGCATTGTTTTCATGCCCAATTTCAGTTTTAGGGCTTTTCCTCACTCTCCCCTGCCTGTTTTCATCATGGCTATTTGTGGCAAATTGAATGTCCATTCCACAGCTCCAAATTCCTCAGGTATTCTGCATGTCACTTCATTCCRTGTTGTTTCACCTTCTCAGACCTGGTATTTAGCCAGTGTCCAGCCAAGTGTTAAATTTGAGTTCTCATGTTGCGTTCCACAGCTCCAATCTTCCTGGAAGTTAAGGGCAGACAATAAATGGAAATTTTGTTTTCTTTTGAGTATTCCTCTAAGCTGCTGCATTTAACAGGCTGTGCTGGGAGCCTTTCATCTGTGTAATGCAGAGCTGATAAATTGGCAGAGGGAAGGTAGTCATGGCCTCCTTTTGAAATCCCCTCTGGAGATCTCAGTGAGACTGCAATCAATATCTGCTGAGGGGGAGAAAAAAAAACAACACAAAATCCTTTTCTGGAATCTCTTGAATAACAGCAGAAATAGAAACCAAGCGGGTGGTGTAAGGAGAGGAACTGGACGGTACTGAAAACCCTGGGTACATCATGGCTGTTTTGCTCCCTTGCCTCTTGTAGGAGACATGCATTGACCACCCAGGAATGCTGTTTTCCCTTGTACAAATCTGGAGGGAGATGCAAAGCTTATTTCACWGTTCAGAACTTGAAGGTTTTACACTGTCCTCTCACAATGCTGTAGCAGAGCCAGCCAGGCCCTGACCTGTGTCACAGACAGGGATGTCATGCACAGACAGTTTTTTTTACCACGGTCTTCTAGTATCAAAAAGGTGACTTTTGTAATAGCAGTAATCTCAGCTCTTTGCACTGATTCTTTTAAGGCACATTCTCAAAGGGGCATTCACCATTGTGCCTTGATGCTTCTCTGGCTTTTTTTTTTGTGGCATGCCAGGGAGGGTTGGAGAGTTCAGCTGTTGACCATGACTTCAGTTGTGGTTTCTTTACGGTACTAATTCTGAAAACAAACCTCAAAGGTGGACTGGCCTCMGAGGAAGCACCCTTGCCTGTTAGGTAGGATAGTAGTTGTAATGAGCCAAGTCCTTTCACAGTATTACAAAGTTGCTGGGACAGTTTGGAGAAGCAGAGGAAAGGATGAGCAATTCGGAGGTGTTCAAGCCTTGGGCACGTGGCTCAGCCTTCCTATTTTACTCTGCTGTTTTTAGCAGGGAGGGAGTTTTCCCAGGGCAGCCAGGTGAGGCAGTTTTGGTCTCAAGGACAAGCCAGAATCTCTTAAGTAGCACTGGAATTACTCCTGCAGGGCTTTCCCATGTTTCCTCTCAGCTTTTTGCATGGAACAGAGTTTCCCAGGCAGAATCCCACACGTGGGTGAAGACTTCGTGCTGTGTCTGCACAGTGTTGTGCAGGGCRTGTGAAGGCATCTCTCTTCTATAGCCTGTTAGCCTGAAGCTGACCCTGGCCAAAGCACAGATATTTTGAGGAATGAGAAGGTCACTTATCAGACYCTGCACAAACTAGTGCAGCCTTGGGCCCAGCCATTGTGGGAAGGATCCTGGCTTTCCAACAGCTTTATTCCCAGTGCTAGGAGACACAAGTATTTTGGCCATCTACCCTAAAACTGATGACTTCATGCAAGTCTCTGAGCCCTTTTGAGATCACTGAATTGCCTGAGAGTCCCTTGTTAGTGGTATCRGCTCTTGCAGTTTGTATTGGACCTATTTATGCTCTCAAGGTCTTGCCAATGTGACCATTACTGTAATCTCTGAGTTTGCAGTACTTTGGAGACAGTCTTAAGTGTCTGGCTACTGTGATGGTTCTCTTTGGAACCGAGATAACAAAACAAAAAAAGGGAGGTACTCTTGTTTCTGTTTTAAAAGAAAGAAGGGGTGGATTGGGGTGGGCTGAAGGAGAGAGAAACTCCCTTCTCTTCCTTCCCTGGTTGCATTTTCATCCCAGGAAGTAGATGGRTCTAACAGATCAGTGCTCCATTTCACGTTTTTGGATGTATTTGAATATGTTATTTCTAAGTCAATGTATTCTACTCTGGGCTTTGCTTATTAATAATATTTGTGGGTTTAATTGTTYCATGTGTAAATGTAATCCTGTGGTCGGGAATAGGCCACTGTAATTCCGTGCTGTGTAGTCTTATTCATCCTTGTCACTAACATGTAATCTGCATCTACTTTATCATGCCAAATGGTGGAAAAATGGATTTACAGGCTKTGTGATTGTTTGAAAGAAAAAAAAAATAATAATTTGAGGAACTGGATTACGATATGAAACTGGATGGTACTTTTAGACCGGGAAGGATCCTCGCCATTGTTAATTCCTGCAGGACTTCCAGGTTTCCCAAGCGGGACACTCCACTTGTTGCTTGTACAAAGCACTCCCAAGGGATTTGCCTGTTCTTAGGTACTAGAATGAAGAATATCCAATGGGATGGACCAAGAAGAGATGCGTGTCTTCATGCCATGGATTTCATCTGCACTTTTCTGATGACTTGGGGGAGAGGGGAGCGGAAAGGCTGTGTACAACACAATAATACCTTGCCCAATAAATCCACATGGACTTTTWAATGGACAAATGGGACGAGTTGATCTGATGGCAGTTTCCTGCATTGCTCTGATTTGCCACTGTCAAACTGGAGGCTGAAATAGCTGGGGAGCTGGTGAAAATGGGCCTGGTTTGTATTAAAATGGTGCATTTAGCTATCTCACTGAGCTCTTATTTTTCTGCTTCAGTGCTCATTTGAAGGAACGGAGCCCTGTTGTTCCTGGAATTTGCTCATGCACAGCCTGGTCTGTGACAAGGAAGATGGTTTATGAATCTTACTAACTCTGCCTGAGGGCTGCTCTGTCTTTCTGTTTAAATGAAGGCGGTGTCTGTGTCTGCATCTTGTGTGTGATGTTCAAAGATGCTGGAAGTTAAGAGCTATGGATTTTCTATTAATACTTTGTAGAATTTTAAATGGTTTTAAAAAGAGAAGGAAAAAAATGCCTGAACTGGGTGTTTGTAGTGTTTTTCCCCAGACTGTTGTGCTGAAAGCAAATGCTGTTGTTTTACAGCAGATTGTTCATTGTATCAGTGAAAGTCTTGCACCACCAAATCCACCCACAACCTCTTTTGGGGAATTTTCCTCCCCAAGTARCCCATCCTGGTGCTGTGCTGCTTTTGTGCCTTTTGGTGGTACTTTGCCTGTGTTTGTGTCTTGGCTACAGTACAGCTTTAATTCTACACAAGCAGTTTTTACCTACCCTGGCTTTGATCATCTCTTTGACTTTCAGACCCCAATCACTCTGAGGTGAAGGTACCTGCCATTAATCTGTGAAGTTTTTCCGTGGCAGAAGCACCTTCTTGAGAGCAGTCAGGGCAGTACCTGCCTTGGGAAAACCTGTTGGTGTCATTTGATCAAAGAGGCCTCTTTCCAAAGAGCCATCAGGTTAAACAAGATGTTTATTGTAAACATTTTCAGTTGGTATCCTACTTAAGGCTGGTTCCAGTCAAGGTGAGACCACGTACCTGATGTAATACTGCTAGAGAGGGATTAATTACAGCAATGACAAATTGCACAGCACGCTTGRTTGGTTACAGAGAAGCCAAAGTGTTCACAAAACATGTTTTAGGCAGAAAGCACATTCCAGGAGGTAAGAAACAACAATATAGGGGCTGGATTGGGGCAGGCTCTGGACAGATTTACTGGTGCAATGGTGTAACATGACTCTGCAAGGATATCGACCTGTTGGAGCAAGTCCAGAGGAGGCACCAAGAGGATCAGAGAGGGATGGAGCACTTCTGCTATGASGAAAGGCTGAGAACATTGGGATTGTTCAGCCTGGAGAAGAGRAACTTTGGGGTGACCTAAMTGCAGCCTTCCAGTACCTGAAAGAACTGACARGAAACATGGAGAAGGACTTAYTGAGAGCRTGTAGTGATAGGACAAGGGGGAATGGATTCACACAGAGAGTAGGTTTARATGGGGTACTAGAAAGAWATTCTTCCCCTGTGAGGTTGGTGAGTCCTGGCACAGGATGCCCAGAGAAGCTGTGGCTGCCCCTTCCCTGGAAGTGTTCCAGGCCAGGTTGGGTGGGACTGGTCTTGTGAAAGCTGTCCCTGCCTGTGGTAGGGGGTGCACTGAGATATCTTTAAGGTCTCCTCCAACACAAACCAGTCCGTGACTCTGTGATATGACTGACTCCTGGTAAAAGGCTAAGCAGCTAGGGGTGTAGGATCAGATGACTGAGGAAGGGTTTAAGGACAGAATTTGCAAGATCAGAGATGGATACGTGCACCCTGAGAAGTGCGTCCATCCATCTGAGCAGCACTGGGGAGGTGTAGGGCAGTCTGGATCCATGATGGAGCTTGGCAGTGGGAGAAGGCTCTCGGTGCAGCCATCAAGGCAGGACACAGTGGCACAGTGGATTTTTGGCTGCACGTATCCCTGGTCAGGAGAGGGAAGCTGCCACCTGCTCGATGAAGCTGGCCAGGTTGATGTCTCGCTCCGATAAACCCCCGCAGTCGTGGGTGCTCAAGGTGATGTGAACCTAAGGCAGACAGGCAGTGTTGCTGACAGAAGTRGCAGAGCTGGTTTCCCTCAGTGCTGCAGCTGATGAGGCAGGAGCTCCAAATGCCTTAACAAAATTCCCTGCGGTGAGAGAGGCACTCTGGCCCTCTTCCTGGTTTTTCTCCTTCCTACAGCTCATTCTGGCCACAAGCTGTCACTACCCTCCTGCCTTGGTCACAGCAGCCACCTGTGCCCATTTTCAACTCTTTCCCCAGAAGCTTTTCCCTTGGCTGCTACTTAATTTAAAAAAGCAACCCTGGTGCCAGCCTACAGCAGCTACTGCTCAGCTGGACAGGGAAAAAGGAGGAGGAAAGGAGCTGTGATAGCTGTATGCTGGTTGTGATACGGGAATAGCATTTGAGGGAAGAGGTCCTGCTACTGCCAACAGGACTTGCTGCTCCATGAGAGCTCTGCTTTGTCCCCACCATCCCCATTTCTTACCTTATTGTACACATTGAACCATTCGGGATGGTGATCCAGTTTTTCTGCCTGTAGAGCCACTCTGGTCATGAAGCCAAAGGCCTGCAGAATAGGAAGGAAAGTTAACTCGGAACCACTCACCCTGCAATATATTGGTTTTTGCCCCATTACTGTTAATTTTACACTGCCTGTGTCTAGATAACCCAACCAAATGAAAGGCCTGGGATATTCTGGGAGTTTTCTAAAGATTTTCCTCTTTCTGAGTAGTGTTTCCCAGACAAAACAACACTGGGTTGAGTACTTTGGTGCCTTGGGTAGGTTATTTTGCTCAGCCATTCCATTTCAGGAGAGACAGAGAGGAGTTTCTTTGGCTGAACTTTGCAGAGGGGACTCCCTGCTCTGTAGACCAGGTGTCCCAGTTGTAAAAGTTCATGCCCCTGGTGCTCCTACCCGGTTGAAGTCCTTGAAGTGGAACTCCTTGAAGATGGCATCTCTGCCTTCCACCTCGTTCCATCCCACAGCTCGCAGGTTTGGCAGCAGCTGCTCCCTCTCCTCTGTGCTCAGCCTGTGGGCTTTTCCTGCCTGCCACCATGGGAAGGAAAGGGAAGAGAAGCAGATCAGTGTGGCAGAAGTGGGATGAAGAAGATGTTGAGAGCAGTGAGGCATCCCATGGGCTGTGGAGTTAYGGAGGCAGCTGCAGAGTGGACGGGAAGGCTGGAATATCAATGTTCTCTGCTCCCTGCCTGGAATTCATCCTGCATGTACCGAGGAAGTCCAGCTGATCCCTTCTGCCCTCTCACCTGCAATACCTCCCACAGTGCCTGAGGTACTAAGAAATTATACCTGTGTGAAGTTAAAACTCCATTTTATTTTACACACCATTTTCTGGAGGGGGAAAAGAAAAGACTTAAAAAGCTGAAGCTCTTGTGATCATTTCTAGACCTGAGAGTTGCTTTAGGGTTCCTGAAGCAGGAAAGCTAGCTTATTTATTTATTTATTTATTTATTTATTTATTTATTTATTTATTTATTTATTTATTGGGAGCCTGCTTTTGAGGACAAAGAAATGATGTGGATCAGAGATGAGTCACACTAAGCTGCAGTTCATCTCCTTTTTTTTCCATCTCCCTTGTATTACAATGGAGTTTAAGAGGCTGTTTCTGTCTGTGAGGAACAAAGGGCAGGGAGGGACTGTGGTTGAGCTCTGCCTTGGGCAGAGCTGCTGGTACTTATTTTTTAAGGGGTGGTAGTGKGGAAACAGCAATTCTTGGCTTTGGGGAGTGTTTACAGGCAGAGATGAAACTAAAATGAAGCTCTTGGGGATGGGGGCTACCCRAGCCAGCTCTGTTCTGGCTCAGTGGGGAAGGCAGGAGCCAGTGCAGAGGGACATTGCTCTCTGAAATGTTGTGTTCTGGTAATTAAAATTCTTTCACAGAATSTCAGATTGTTCTGAGCTGGAAAGGATCCACAAARATYATCAARCTCCAACTCATCATCCTGCAYAGGASAGCCCCAAGAACTCCACCATGTGCCTGAGAACGTTGTCCAAATGCTTCCTGAGCTCTGGCAGGTTTGGGTGAGTTGATCTTTACAGTTGGTGATGATAAAGACCAAGATTCGTTGCAATTTCTTTTCCTTGGTGTGCTGTATAGCCAAATGTGGCAAATCGGATATAAGTCTCAACAAATCTGGCCCAGTTTTTTGTGGCTATTTGATAAGCAGCCCCTTGAGATGCTTTGCTTGGGCATCAATGCTCAGGAATGGCACCTTAAACAACCAAGCAGCTGAGGCAAATGACCTGCTTTCCCTGCTTACAGCCTGTACAAAACCAAAGAAYCAGCTGTGAAGCTGATGTTTTTGTGGGTGATTCTGGAATGTTTTGGGGAAGACTGGAAAGATAATACTTCATTCCCATAGCTGTGTGGGTGCCTACCTGTCTGTGTATCCATGAYCCTTAGATTGCATGGAATGGAGAGTGCCAGGTGTCACTGAATCTTAGTGTGGGGGGGCTGGGGGTGAGATGCTGCCTGTCCCCATGGCATTGCAGCTGCAGGATTTTTGGGGAAGGCCTTCCTTGCCTCTGCATATTTTGGCCTCACTTCATTTTGTATGGCCCGCTGCCAGCCCTGGCTCTGTCACCCCCATCCCCACCCCCCAAATGTCAACCCTGTTCTCTCCCAAGCCCTGGGCTGGGAGGGAAGGTAGTGAGTAAACATGACTTAGCTCAATAAACCTTTAGCCGTTGCCCTTCCCTGCTGATGGTGAGATAAGCTGGGCACAGGTAGCTTAGCAACTGGATAACGTGGGGACAGAGGATGGCTCTGAATGGGGCACAGGCAGGGGGGCACTGCAGGGGCTGTCCTTGGGGACTCTGATGGAAATMGGGCAGGGGCTTCACCAGGATTTGGGACCAGGGGCTGAAACCTGCTCCTCATCAGTGCTGAAGAGAGGAAAGGTAAAAGCTGGAACGGTAGCTTAGAGCAGAGGGGTATGGATGCAGGGGGCTGGGTTCCAAACCAACCTTCTTTGCGCAGAGCAACAAAGGGACGTGGTGTAATTGTTCTCTGTGTTTTGTGACTATGTGGGAGGATGGCTCCCGGGGCATTTTCCAGCCCAGCAACAGTGGGAGGCATGGTCAGGCTGAGGTTTGTCCACAGACCCCACAGAGCCAACTCCTCTGGCTGTGTTCTTTTGATGGCAAACCCTCTCTCTGCCTGGAGCAACCCCCTGCCCTCCATCTCGCTCCAATCCCTCCTTCTCCACCCCAGAACATTGGCCAGCCTGCTGGTTTTGTCACGATGACATATTAATGCTTTCATATGCACTCACTCCTTTAAAACACACTTTTCTCATTAGGGAAATGAAATTTTGTTTTCTTCTGCTGGTTCCCAATAGCCAAAAAGTTGGGATTTTTTATTTTCTTTCTTTTTTTGCCAGCAGGAAAACAAGTAGATGCATTGTGTCACTGAGGGAAAGGAATCAGCATGGGAAATTGGGAGAGTTTGAACCCTCTTTGCTCTAACTAAWATCTTCCCTTTTACAGAATCATGGAATGGTTTGGGTTGGAAGGGACCTTAAAGGCCATTCAGTTCCACACCCCCTGCCATGGGCAGATACACCTTCCACTAGACCAGGTCACTCCCAGCCCCGTCCAACCAGGCCTGGGACACTTACAGGGATCCAGGGGCAGCCACAGCTTCTCTGGRCACYCTGTGCCRGGGCCTGCCCACCCTCCCAGGGAAGATTTTTTTCCTAATGAAATGTATGACTTCCCACCTAGGAGCAGATACAGGGGACAGCCCAGGGTGAGCAGGCAGRGCTGGAATGGTGTAATCCACAAGGCCCACGGTCTTCTGGTGCCCCAGAAAAGCCGATTCCAGCCGGCCCAGGTGTGTTGCAGGGCTGTGTATATGGAACACACGTGGGGGTCGTCCTTGCCCTACGGAATGTGAGGGGGGATCATTGCTGGCGGACCCGTTCCCTGCTCCTCGCAGAGCAATGAGCCTGGAGAGCGCTGCCTTTGGAAATTCAGCAGCCGCGGTGGAGCTCCCGCGTTACTGATTAACCACAGCGCTCTGCTCCTTTCTCCCTTCCCTCCTGCCTCTCCTCAGAGCCTGGAGCTGCCGCTGAAACATTTCTGCCTTCGAAAAGGCAGAAGAAACAGCCGGCTTCCCCGGCAGCGACTTACCATGGCCCGCGGGTCTCCTGGCCTCTGCTCCCGCTGCGGCTCGGGTGATGCTCGCCGTGCCGGATCCCGCCGGAGCCGGGGCTTGGCCGGGATGGCGGGAGGCGTGGCGAGGCTACCGGGTCCACCCACGGCCAGCCAGCCTTCCCAGCGCTGGTCACCTGCCTGTGGGGCCCCACAGGGCTGKGTGACTTGGGGGATGCCCAAACAGGGTCTCTTGGGAGCCCTGCACGACGAAGGGATGCTGTGTCTTCCCCCCGAACCTCGCACCCCTCTCCCGCGGGGTCACTTCCTTAACCTGGGGCACAAAAGGCGGAGCGGGATGGAGAGGGGCAGCTGAAGGAGGCACCGCTGGATGCTGCTGGCAGCACGTGTGATGAGTGTGACGGTGCTGAGCATGTCCGTGAGCTCAGTGTACCGATAATCACAAACTGCATGGTCTGGGACAGTCGGGACTAGATCGCAGTGCACCGATAATCACAAACTGCATGGTCTGGGACAGTCGGGATTTAGATCGCAGTGCACCGATAATCACAAACTGCATGGTCTGGGACAGTCGGGATTAGATGGCAGTGCACCGATAATCACAAACTGCATGGTGTGGGACAGTCGGGATTAGATCGCAGTGCACCGATAATCACAAACTGCATGGTGTGGGACAGTC